TTATTTATAAGCATTAATTAATTTATTAATTAAAACGCTTTAATTTACTTATAATATAATAAATATTTAATAAAGAAAAAAATTTAAAGTATGAAGTAAATATTCTTTTTATTTAAATTATATTAATTAATAATATTATTATTAATATTTTATAATATATTTAGGATGTTTTTATTAATAAGGATTTATTCTTTATTATTTATTTTATTAAGGCTTAAGCAGCTATATTTCTAAGAATATAATCTTATTTAATTAATATAAACTTTAAATATCTTTAAGGTAAGCGTAATAAAGTTATATTTATAGTTTTAAAACTATTAATAAGAAAAAGTAAGTTAAAATAACCTTATATATTTTATATATATACTTATTTTATATAAATATTTAAATATTATACTTATTTATGCTTATATTAATTTAAATTCTTCTTTAATATATTATTTCCTATTTAATAAATTATTTAATATATTAAAAGAAAGATTTAATTAAAAAGTATAATGGCAGCATTTTATTAATATTAATAGTATTTAGGTTATAAGTAACTTTATTAGTTTTATCATTAACTAAGATTATAAATTTTTTATTAATAAGTTAAATATTTTATTTAAATATAATATTTAAATATAATATTTATATCTTTATAATATTAAGGTTTAAAATGTATCTTTATAGTTTAAATTCTTAGCATTAATTATAGCAATAATAAATTAAATATGCTATTTAATTTTACAAGGTATATTTTTAATAAGGAATTAAAAGAATATTAAGTTAAAATTATATAAGTTTATATCTTAATATAATATTTAAATATAAGATTAATATATTTTAAAGTAAATTATTAAGATTATTATATAGCCTTATAATAGCTTTACTTAATATTATTAGTTTTACTTAATATACTTAAACTTATTAATATATATAAGGTATGTATTATTTAAAAGTTTTAATAATATAAATAATACTTATTTTATTAAATCTTACTTAAACCTTTAATAATAAGCTAAGTATAAAGCAAAGTTTATTAAAATAGGTTAAGCAAAAGAAATGTTTAATTATTTATTATAGCTTTAATAAGTATAATTTTAAAATCTTATTTAATAATTAAGATAAAATATTATTATTATTAAATTTAGCTAAGGTTTAATATTAATAAAGCTATTTAATTAATAATAAATATAATTTACTTTTAAGGGTTATTATTAAGTAAATTATTTAATTACTTATATATATTTATTTATATTAACTTATTTTTATTATAAGTTTATAAATATAAAATAAAGATAATTTTAAATCTCTTTTTATTATAAAAAAGTATAACCTTAAATTTAGCTTTTAAAATATAGTTATGTTAAGCTTTAAATATAAATAATAAGCAACTTATATTTATAAGTAATTTTATTTTCTTATTTAATTATATTTATATTAATAGTTATATAAAGTTAAAGCATTATAAATATGCTTTTTTAAGTTTTATTAAATTAAGTTAATAAATGGAATTAATACTTTTAAATAATGCTATTACCTTTTTTAAGATAAGTTAGTATATTATTAGTTTAAGAATAATATAAAAGTTAACTTAAAAGTAATAATAATTAATACCTTATTTATATATTAATTTAAATTATTATTATTTAAACTTTAATATATTAATAAAAATAAAACTATTAAATAATAAAAGTATATATAATTTTTTATTCTTAATATATTTAAGGAAGAAGGAGATTATATTATAGTTTTAAGCTTTTTTAATTTATTTATACCTTTCTTTCCTTTTTTTATACCCTCTTTATTAATATTAGTTTATTTTAGCTTATCTTAAGTTTTATTAAATATTCTTTTAATTAAAAAGTAAAAGGAATTAAAGATTTAAAAAATAAAGCTAAAGATAAAGATATTAATAAAGTTAAGTAAAAAGGTTAAAGAAGAAAAAAAAGTTTAGGAAAAAAAATAAAAGCTAAAGCAATTATAAAGAATAGCATTAAAGAGGGACTTAAAATTATCTTTTAGTTTAAATAATAATTTAAAATAATTTAATCTTTATTAATTTTAAATAAAAAACCCTTATTTTTAAAATATTTAAATATAGTATTTAAATATAGTATTTTAATATAATATTTAAATATAATATTAATATTATATAAGACTTAATAAAGGTAATTTAATTTAAAATTTATATTTTTATAATGTTTAAATATAATATTTAAATATTTTATTAATATTATTTAAATATTAATAAAAATGGTTTAATTTTTATTAATTTTAAATAAGGGATTTAAATTATTATAATATTTAAATATTATATTTAAATATATAATATTTAAATAATCTTAAATATTAATATAATTAAAAGGTAAATTTAATAATATATATATAATTATATTAATACTTACTTTAATTATATAGTTTATATTATTAATTATATTATTATTAATTATTTTTATAATATAATTAAACTTTTTCTTTTATTTTATATTTTTAAGTTATAATTTAACTTATTTATTATTTTAATATAAGTTTATTACTTTAATTATTTAATTATTTATTAAGTTTAAGATTATTTATTATAAAAGCCTTTTAATTAGCTTTAAAGTAATTAAAAGTATATAAATTAATTATATTTATATAAACTATATTTAAATATATTTTAATATAAATATTTTTTTTTAAGTTTTATTAAGTTTAATTAATAAGAAGAATTAATATTTTTAAATAATAATTTTACCTTAAGAATAATATAAAATTAACTTAAAAGTAATAATAATTAAAACTTTATTTATATATTAATTTATATTATTATTATTTAAACTTTAATATATTAATAAGAATTAAAATATATTAAATTAATAAAAGCATATATAATTTTTTATTCTTAATACCTTTAAGGAAAAAAGAAATTATATTATAATTTTAAGTTCTTTTAATTTATTAATACTTTCCTCCTCTTTTATTATACTCTTTTTATTAATATTAACCTATTTTAGCTTATTTTAAATCTTATTAAATATTTATTTAATTAAGAAGTAAAAGGAATTAAACATTTAAAAATAAAATTAAAAATAAAAATATTAATAAAGTTAAGTTAAAAGATTAAAAAAGAAAGAAAAGTTTAAAAAGCAAAATAAAAGTTAAAGTAATTATAAAATATAGCGTTAAAAGGGAATTTAAGATTATCTTTTAATTTAAATAATAATTAAAAATAATATTAACTTAGAATAATAATAAAGAATAATATTAAAAATAAATATAAAATTATTATAAAGTTATATTAATAATTTAAAATAATATTAAATATAAAATAAAGTATAATAAATATAAATTAAATTTAAAAATATAAATTATCTTTAAGATTTTAATTAAAGTTATAATAATTTTAATATTTTTAAATATACATATAAATATTTATATTTATATATAAGCAATAAATAATAATTAAAAGATTAAATAATATAAGTATACAACATATAGCCCTTAATAATATATAAATATAAAATTTTTATTAAGACTTAATATAATAAATTATTAATATTATAATATTTAAAAATAATTTTAAAAAAGCTTTTATATTATTTAATAAATAATTTATTAAAAATTAAGTTTTATTAAAATAATTAATTTTAATATATATATAATTATAAAGAATATATTATATATTATATATTATATATTATATATTTTTTATATTTTAATAATTTTAAATTTAAGAAGAATTATTATAAAATATTAATAATTTAATTTTTTTTAAAAAAGAAAAAAAATTTTACTTTTTAAGCTATATTTATAAAGAAGCTAACTTTAATATATTTATTTAAAATTAACTTAATAAATAACTTAACGTAAATAGTAATTAGCAATACTTATATTTTTAAGGCTTTAAGTTTAACTTATTAATAAATAAATTAAAAAAAAAGAATTTTAAAATATTGCTTAAACTTAAGATTATTAAGTATATTAATCTTAGTTTAGTTAAGGATAATTTAATTATTTAAGAATATAAGATTAATATAAGTAATGTAATTATTATTAAGTATATTATAAATAATATAATTAATATAATTAATAAAAAATATATAAGTATAACTTTAATTTATTAATAATATAATTTTAATAAAAGATAAAAGGCTATCCTTAAAAAGCTTATTAAAATGGATAGTAATAATATTTATATTTATATTAATACTTATGGCATAACTTTAAATAATAAGTTAAACTTAATATTAAAGGATTTACATTATTTAATTAAAGTTTTAATTGCGTTTTATGGAATTAAGGTTAATAAGAAGTATAATAATTATAAAAAGTATAAGCTGGAAAATGCTTTCTTTAAGGGATGTTTTATAATCTTTAGTATAAAAAAGTTAGGCTACTTAGAATGCTATGCAGCTTATAATAATTATAATAAGAATTAAAATAATGTTAAAATAGATTTATTAATATAAATTAAAAATTAATATTAATAATTTAATAATAATTCTTTTTTTAATATTTAAATATAAAATAAGGTTAATTAATATTTAAATATAAAACGAGGTTAGTTAACATTTAAATATTATATTTGGATGTTAAGTGAGGTATAGGGATTAAGGTTACTTGACCACGTCCCACCCTAGAAATGCTCCCGGTTCCGCTTCTGAAATGCAGTCTCTCTTCTTGGCCGAAAGGTTGTGCATTGTCACTGCGTCTTTTTGCACTTGATAACATCCTCAAACATATAGTGAGAGTCCGGAAAGCTCGGAGTAAAACACCGCTTAGCAATTTTGTGAGCTGACCGCATGCGAGTCGCTACCGCTTTGATTAGTCGAAGTGTGCATGCCCCTCCCAAATGCATCGATGTCGCCATCGCGATGGAGCAATCCATTTGTCATCAGCCCGATAACTGCTACCCCAGAGCCAAACCTTGAGAGCTTCAAAAGTCGACGCCTAACCTGGAGCAGAGTGAGATTTCATTCATCCATTTTTGAGATATCAGGACCTGGAATACTCGAAGAGAGACGATCTTGAAAATGTCCGACTCGAAGAAACTGCACCTCACCGCGTTCATGCGACCTGTGAGTCTCCATACTGGAGCATGGCGGTACCCTGGTTCTTTTCCCGATGCCAACTTCAACCTGGGGCATTTGAAGTCATTCATAACGAAACTGGAGGCTGCGAAATTCGACGCATTTTTCATGGCTGACCATTTAGCCGTCCTGAACATGCCAGTCGAGGCTCTCAAGCGCAGTCACACAGTCACATCCTTCGAGCCTTTCACGCTACTTTCTGCCCTTTCAGCAGTGACGGAGAAGATCGGACTCGCGGCAACGGCATCCACTACATATGATGAGCCATACCACATTGCTCGTCGTTTCGCCTCGTTGGATCATCTAAGTAATGGGCGAGCAGCCTGGAACATTGTCACGACTGGCAATCCGGAGTCATCCAAGAATTTTGGCCAGGACGAGCACATGCAGCACGGCGACCGTTACAAGCGGGCCCGGGAGTTCTACGACGTCGTGACGGGACTGTGGGATAGCTTCGCCGACGACGCCTTCGTCCGTGACCAAGAGAGCGGCATCTATGTCGACCCGGAGAAGATACACACACTCAACCACAAGGGAGACGAACTGAGCGTCCGCGGGCCGTTGAACATCGCTCGCCCGGTCCAAGGCTGGCCAGTGATCGTCCAAGCCGGCCAGAGTGAGCCCGGGAGACAGCTCGCAGGGGAGACGGCAGAAGTTGTGTTCTGCTCCCCACAAGATCTGGAGTCCGGGAAGGCACTGTACGCAGACATCAAGGACCGCGCAGCAGCAGCAGGCAGGAGGCGCGAGCACATTAAAATCCTCCCGGCGGCGATGATCATCGTCGGCGACACGGTCGAGGAAGCCAAGGCGAAAAGGCTCGAGCTTGACAGCCTGGTGCACTATGACAGCGCCATAGCGTCCCTGTCTATCATGCTGGGGACTGATGCGTCGGGCTTCGACCCAGACGGCCCGCTACCGGAGGACCTGCCCGAGACCAACGCGAGCAAGACGGCGCGGGAGGGCGCGGTCATGCTTGCGAAGGACGAGGGACTGACTGTCAGGCAGCTCGCGCAGCGATTCGGCGGGTATGCCGGGCTGGCCTTTGTAGGGACCCCGGAGAGTATCGCCGACCAAATGGGCCGCTGGCTAGCAGAGGATGGAGCTGATGGGTTCACTGTGACCTTTCCCTTCCTGCCGCAGGGTCTGGATGACGTCGTCGAGAGGTTGGTGCCAGAACTTCAACGACGCGGGCTTTTCCGGCAGGAATATGAAGGGACAACGCTGCGCGAACATCTTGGTCTTCCACGGCCAAAGAACCAGTTCTTTGAGAAGTCGTAGATCCCGAGGTCAATCACGTGGAACCTAGTAACAGGGCCCCTGGCGTGCAGGCAGTGCGGAAGTCCGGCAGTGCCGGGTCTGGGAGCCGTTCATTAAAGTTGGTGATATAAGATGATGAGCCACAAAAATCCCGGGGTGAATAAATCAAAAGACTCTGTGCAAGAGTCCAGACGCTCGGGGTTTATTTGGGATTGGGTGATGTTGAATAGGAGTCTCCCGCTACTGTTTCACTGAAATGAAACATCTGGGTAGGGGCAATTCTAATTGCAACAACTCCTTTCTTGGAGGTGGAAACAAGACCCACCAATGACAACGCCGAACGGTATGTCATCAAAATCAAGACTGAACAACAGACCGTTACTAAAACTTGTGGCGGCACGCTTTCGTGTATCTATGGTCAACTCCGATCTTTCACTTTTGGCTTTAGCTGTGGTGAAGTTGAACAGTTGCAGCGATTCCTTATTCTTTCATTCGTTTAAACGCCTCACGTTCTTTTAGCCACAATGGCATTCCGTTCCCTCGCCGCGCTCTTTGTCGCAGCCACAGCTGTGACGGGCTCTGCCGCAGCTGCCGTCGAGCGGGCCTCCGCTGCTGCCACTGCCAAGTTTTGCGGGGCCCCGAACGATTACCAGGTCATCTCAGGGACGCCTTGGATCGTCTATTCGATGAACTACAACTACAAGGATATTTCCGGGTCCTGCTGCACGGACTACTTTGACTTCACCGGCTCCGGTGATGGCCAGACGATTCACTGGTCCAGCGTATGGGACATTGACGAGGCTGTCGGGACCAATGTTGTCAAGGGCTATTCGTTCATTGGCTTGACACAAAACCTGGAGACTCAGCTCAGCGCTATTTCATCCATTCCTAGCACCTACGAATGGACCATTAGCAACACAACTGCGTATAAGGGTTGGTCTCGACGTCATCTGAGCAGCATCGTCACCTCCTCTGCTGACAATGACTTTCAGGAAACGTCGTCTACGATTTCATGACATCCGATACGAAGGGAGACTCGACATCAAGCAACGCTCAGGAGCTCATGCTGTGGCTTCAGTATGAAGGCGGTCAGGTCCCGATCGGCTGGGCAGAAGGCGCCGTTGCCACCATCAGCCTCTTTGGCAAGGACGGCTGGAAGCTGTACCAAGGCAAGAACACAGACACAGGAATCACTGTCTCGTCCTTGCTTGTTCCAGAGAATGATATGTACCAGGGTAACTTCACTGGGGACATAAAGGACTGGCTTCTTGCGATGTCTGAACAAGGAATTTTCGGCACCGACACGTACGTCAACGTGGGTAACGGTGGCATGGAGCCTTACTGGGGTTCGGTTACCTTTGACAACCATCTGAGTCTGAGAATCAATCTCTAAGACTGAGCGCCGAGGTTGTCGAGTCTGATCAGGTCAGCACACGCGAAGATTTCGCGATGAATGCTCCAAGAAACACATGCGTATTTGAGATCAACTAGCGTGTCACCAATACGAATATCATTCACAAAGGAAGCGAACAGGCGTACATGCTTGCTGACCACGAACTGTGGAGAGGAAGACTAAGTGCACTGTGGGTCAGGTGCGCGATGTTGATTTTGCCTTTTAGGTCCATAGAGTGTGTGAGCTGTACCCGGGTTACCACAAGCTGTATAGGTAGGCCATCGCGGGCGATTCATTGGGAACTTCAGTAAGCGAGTATGGCATGCGACCCACGAATATCCTTAGATCAAAGACGGATCCCCCGTCCCATGCCGGCTGAAAGGAAACACCGTTCTGACTCTGAAGAAGGGCGAGGGTTTCAGGGGGCAGTGACTGTCAAGGGTGCCCGTCACCTACACATGCATCCTGACTCAGGTCCAACCTCTTGACGACATCGTCGACTTCACGTCGAAATCGATTCGGATTTGCAACGGAAGGTAGGTTACGGCCTCTCGTCGAGCCGGAGCAAAAACCCCACGGGAAACCGGGTAGATACACCGAACATGCTCGGAGGCCTCGGTGACGGCGCAGTTCAAGATCTACGCCTGGACCCGCTCATTTACCCGGAATTGTCGGCTTCGACAGGCGGCTCCGGAGCATTTCCTCCCTCGCCTCACGATGGTTATCGCTCTGTCACTGAGTTGGCGTGCACGCTTCACAGGGAAGTCGCACACAAGAAAAAACAGCAGATATTCGAATCAGGATTTGCTCGTAGATATATGCGAAAGTTGGAACACACCAGTCCCTTCGATTCTCTAGCTACAAATCATAGACGGTCGAGTGACCACGATCCTAGCGAGCCTAGCTAGTCGACCGTTTGATCGACGCGACTATAGCCAAGAGCAATCAAATGACAGCTCGATCGCTGACTCGTGTTCGCTTAGCCAAGAACCCACTGTCTGTGCTGGCGGTGTTGGGTTTTTGGTACGCCCGAACCCGAATTGACTTCACGCCATCATGCTGTTCCCTAGTTTTGCACCTCCAGGGAAACCGTTTCCTCCTCAATGACAACTTCTGGCAGAGCAATGGCTCGCTAAGCCGCGGCTACAACACGGCGGCATGACAACAACCACGTCGGACCTGGGCTACGTGCCCGGGTACCACGGCGCGGGCCCTCTCACGACAGTCTTTACCACTCCGGACTTTTGCGCAGTGAGCCCCCTAAACACGAGTTCGCGAAATGGAACCACATCCACTGACGTCACCCCATCAGAGCCTTTACTGGACAGACACCGTCACGCCGCCGCTCTCGAGCCTGGTGTGCATGCCGCCAAAGTTTCACTCATTATACGACTACAGCTTCGGTTTTTACTCGCCTGGGATATGTCCGACCGGTTACAGCAAGGGCTGCGACTTCCCGAATGATAGGGCGCGAACAGACGATGGCGGGATGGTATATTTTGGAGGGAATGTGCTCGATGGCGAGACCGTCAGGGTCTGCTGCCCGAACGGATACACATGCCTCCTGAACGATCCTTACAGCTACTCGAAGTGCGTTCATACGACCGACAGTTCAGAGATGGCTTTCGCCCTCCAGGTCCGCTGGCAGGAGTCTGACCTTAGCATATTGGCGACCGACCCGACGGTCCCCGGATCGACCTACTCCGCGCCGTCAACAGCTACAGCCACGCCATCGACGGTAGAAAGCACGGCGGCGTCCGGGAGCAATGGCGACACGCCGACCCCTTCGTCGTCTTCCAGCAACACCGTCGCCCAGAACGACGACCCCACCTCGAGGACAGAAAGCGGAATACCGGCCGGCACTATAATCGGCATAGCTATTGGCGTGGGAGGGATAGTCGCCGCTATCGCCGTAAGCGCGGTTGTTTTCTTCATATGGCGGCACCGCAGGAAGAGGCGCGAGAACGGCACCCGGATCGAGTCCATGATGTCTGGTGTTGGCGATTCCAAAACCTCACCGGCAAATAGTGATGGGTTTGCGGCGGACAACAAGGCCGAACTGGACTCGAGGGCGAGGGCCAGCACGGCCGCACTAAGTGAGGCGCCGGCAGACAGAGATGCCATAGAGATGCCGCCGATGCACATAGCCGCAACAGAGATGGAAGTGCCGCATTTTGTGGCAGAGCTGCCCGGGAGCATGCCGGCGGGCCACGATGACGACGGAGAGCATACACCAGAGACAGATGTCCCCAGATCACCACTACCAACGGCGGAGACTTCACAAAGGGAGTCAGGGGCATTGGGGAATATGGGCCACTGGAAGAGGCGGTCTGTGGCGAGGGCCCAGTCTCAATCAACACCAATCTCGAGTTCGTCCACATCAGCGTCGTCGACATCGACAACGACGACAGAGGATAGACGGCAAAATCAGACATGAGACAATAGCACACTCAATAATATCACCCATATTAAGAATAATAAAGGCAATAAAAAGTTGATACCCACAAATCTTGCAAACGAGAAGCACGTATTGAGTTGGGTATACTTAATTAATTGGGACACGAACTTATTTACATGAATAACTTTAGAACAAACTTCCCACAACTTCCACACATATTTCCTTTATCTGCCGCTACAGTCATCGGATCTCGCACTCAATGGTCGCGTCTCTTAAGTTGAGAGGTCGACCGTGCAGCTTAGCTACTCGCGGCGATAATCTTCTCCACCGCGGCCTCAGCCACGACCATAGTAATGGCCTGGGTGTTCCCGGTCGGCAGATCAGCGTGGATGCTGGAATCAACGATGTACAGGTTGTCGGTGGCCCAGACCTTGACGTCGGTATCCACCACAGAGGTCTTGGGGTCAGTTCCGATATTTGCAGTGCCGACGTAATGGTCGCCCTGGGTATGAGATGCCAGGATGGCAGAGGCGTTGGTGGTGCCTTGGGTGAGCTCCCAGCCGTGGGAAGTGACGCTCTCGAGCAGCTCCTCCACAAAAGTCCGAGCGCCATCTTGGTCTCCCTGGGTCTGGAGGTAGGGCATCTGGGTGTATCCGACTGTGCCGTTGGCTAGGATGCCCATCTGACCAGAGGAGGTGGCGCCGTGGGTCAAGTAGGCCTTAATCAGGACAAGGCCCTGGACCTGGGGGCTGACGCTGCCCTGGTAGTACCGAGTGATGTTGTCGGAGGCCACGTTCGACGTCCAGAAGATCATGCGGTGGTAGTCTTGCGATAGAACACCGGAGCCCTGCTCTGTATACAACTCGATATCATCGAGGTTGGTGCCATCAACGACAGTAGATGTGTTGAACGAGGTCCAGTTGTCAGGTGTCTGAACATAAATACTGAAGATTGGGTGGTCTTTGATGGTCTGGCCGACGGGGAGATCGATCCAGTCCTCCTTGGGCGGAACAGCAATACCGCTGATTCCGTCGGCAACGGTCTGAACCTGGTCGTTTGGACCGATCCCGGAGTTGAATAGGATGCGAGGCGTTCCCCAAGGGCCAGCAGCCAGGACCACTTTACCGCCGGCAGCAAGGCTGACAGTCACCAGAGACGCCGATGTCCCAGTTGGGATAGCTGTACGCCTTGGTCTTGCTGTTAGGCTCCGCGACCTGGTCAACCTCCGACCAGTCCTGGGCATCGAGGAACTTGGAAACAGTCTCGAACATGCCCTGGTCGTACCGCTTGCCGTCCATGCTGGGGAGCATGTTGCCCGGGTTGAGGTCCCAAACCCGGTCGGCGGCGGCGGACACATCGTCCCACTTCCACCCCGCGGGCCACTTGTCGTCAAAGTCACGCTCCGGGGGGTGAGGGAACACCATGTAGTTGATGGAAGCACCGCCTCCAAACACGCAGGTTGCGAAAGCGTCGACATCCGAGCACAGGTAGGCCTGGAAGAGCGGCTGGTCTCCCACGTTGTACGAGGTGACAGCAGTCGAGAGACCGGGGACGTCAATAGGTGTCAACGTGTTGTTGAACCCCACTGTGCCTACGGCTCCGGTCCCGACGGTAGGCCCTTGGCCGCGGGAGAGGAGAAGCACGCTCTTGCTGGAAGACTGGGCGAGACGGGTAGCGGCGATAATACCGGATGGGCCGCCACCGACCACAATGTCTTGGCTCTGTTAGCTATATATTCCGGAGACCAGAGGGCACTTCTCTGAGAGAAAGGAAAGGGAATCATGACACCGTGGAGAGAGAACTATTACACTTACAGTCATATGTGGCATTACCAACAGAGGAACCAGTGGCCCGAGACTTGGAGCAAGTTGCCGTAACGCCGCAGAAGGCGGCCGAAACCGCCAGCGTTCTTGTCAGTGAGGCCCGCGTGTTGACCAGGTCTTTTGTTTATTAGGGTTATCGGGAGTAAACCGCCACGTGAGGAATGATAGCACAGGACATATCCTATGTCTTATAGCACATACAGATGTCACCTAGGAATGAATCAGAGCATTAGAGATCGGCATCCGATCGAAAAGATTACTAGATTTGTGATTGTGATGGATCCATTATCCTGACAAATTCGGGGAGGACGTCCACTCCACCAAGCCCCTTTCCAACTTGTCCAGAGATCCCAGCTTCATGTGTGTGGCAGTGGGGTTGTCGGCCCAAGCAGCGTGCTGCCTTGAGAGTTTTCAGGACAAGTCTTTCTACGGAGCCCTACGTGACCCAGTTCGACTATGCCGATATTCTTCTTTTCGTATCGTCTCTGTAGAGTGACCATATAGTCAACACTTTGTCTGATAAAACCCATGAAAGCATTTCATAGTCATACTCGTGGAGTTAATCAGATGAGACACAAACGCTGTTAAACTTACATGAGCATTTGTAACTTGTTCTGAGGTGGAGCTCTGTGGATACTAACCATCTCGTCGGATGCTTGATTTCTTAACCAGGATGACCAGGATTAATCCACAGACTGGCGGACTTGTGGATGAACGGGGGTAACATCGGAGCAGGAAAAGGAATCTGTAGAAAATGGGTCTTCCCACAATCGGCCCGCGATTATCGACTGTCACTTGTCTCGTTCATCATAAGGGAAGCTCGATGAGGATCTGTATTCGTGTCATTACTTATGACATAATGAGTAGGACCTCGTTCCTACATAGTAGGCTGCGTCCAGCTGCTCATCGAGTTGAAAAACGATTCAGTGTGCGCCCATCAAGTAGCCGGTTCCACCGTGCTGGTAAAGATCGGCATTACCAAGTTGATGTTGACAGGCGTACCCATGCTGCTGTCTGTCCCAAACAAAACGCAGCCCCCCCCTGTCTCTTTGGTTAGCTATCCCCCCTTATACCAAAAGTTTGCTATAAACGCGGAATACGTACTAATATTCTTAAGAATAACCTTCTCGCTATTATTGCATACTTAATTTAGCAAAAAAAAGGTTATTAAAACCTTATTTTATATATATCTTTGGAATAATTAAGAATAGCGTAGTTAATTTAAGCTCGTTATATAAGGGAGCATATACTTTATTAGCTTTGGCCTAAGGTAATTACAGCGCACCCAAATTAATAGCAAACTTATTCTAATAGCTCTTAAAAAGCAAAAGCCTAGCCATTGCAATTATATACTTATTTACAATGCCAAGTTATTTACTTTATTAATAAATACTATATTAATTAATTAATGGCATTATTATATATAAAGAAGTTAATGGTAAAGATAAAGGTTATTACTGCTATAAAAAAAAGCTAGCAGCTTAATTAAAAACCTCTGAAAATAAGCAAGTAGCTACTTAGCATGCTGCTTAATATATTGCTAAGAATGCTAAAAAGGTTATTTTTAAAGCCATCTTTAATACGAATAATGCTTTAATTAACTTAAATAAAGTTAAGAATAATAATGCTAGCTAAGAAACATTAAGTATATTTAAATTATTATTATTAATTAATAATACTAAAAGTAACGATATTAAGAAGTTAAAAAGCCGTTCCTTGCTAAAGAAATTGCTTAAGAAAGCATTCCTTATATTATATATAAAAGTTATTAGCATATAGCCTACTTTTATATTGCTAATAAAGCGATATAGCTTTAAGTTTAATAATAATAAGTATAAAGCTTTTAATATTAATTTTTTATTAAGCAATTTTTTCTTAAAGATAAAGAATTAAGTTAAGGTTAAGCTTATTAATATAAGGGATATAATAATTAAGTTATTATAAGTCTTATTTAAGGTAAATTATTAGCTATAAATAAGAATATTCTTAATTTAATTAAATATAATAAAAAGGATTAAAAGGTATTTAAAGGGAGAACTTTTTAATAACTAAATTATAAAAATGCTTTTTTTAAGTAAAGGTTCCTATTATCTTATAATTATATATATCTATAAGGTAATACTTTTAGTAATATAAATAATGCTTTAAAGCATTATAACATTAAGGTGATAATTAAGCATTAAGGTTTTTAAGCCTTCCTTATTAATAAGGTTAATGCCTAGCTTAATAAATAATTTATTAATAGTTAAACGCTTAATAAGTATTCCTTTAGCAAAAGAGTTATCATTATTTAAAAGCCCTTAAAAAGGGTTAATTACTATTTATATAATAATAATAAGAAATGGCAATTAATTACTTAGCTTTAAGGCTTATAAAAAGTTAATATAAATATAATAATGCTTTAAAAGTATTTATTATAAGGTTAATTATTATTATTATAATAAGAAGAACTTTTTATAAGAATAATGCTGCTATATTAAAAAGAACGGCATATATATAAATATTGCTAATATTAATTTAATAATATAAGTATAAATAATAGTTAATAATAAGGCTGCCATTTAAGCGCCTTTAAAAAAGCTTTTTATTAAGTAAATAAATACTGCTAAAGCTAATAAAAATAATAAGGAATTTAATAAAAATAATATTAGCCTTATATATAAGCAAAAGAAGCCTAAAAAAAATAATAAGCAAAGAGAAAGTAATATTAATATAATGGTTAATTCATTAATTAATCTTTATGCCCTTAGCTTTATATATAGGCATTTAGCGATACTATTGCCGCCGCTATTAATACCTTTATTAATATACTTATTAACAGGCTTTAAAAAGTTGTTAGCATTATTAATAATAAAAGCTTCTTGCTTAAGCAACCCTATATATTATTATTAATTACTTATGCTTTTATTATTGCTATTATAAGTATTTAATAATTAAAAGGCCCTTAGTAAAGACTTTATGTTTAAGGCCTTATAAAAGCATTTTTATATATTAATAAAAAGAAAGTAATTAATAAAGCTGCAAAAGGTAATAAAGCATAAAAGCATTAATCTTTAAGCCTTATACTTAAAGAAGGATATTTAGTTTAATGAAAAGGGCTTAAATAGTATTAAATTAGTTAAAAGGCTTATAAAGCTATACTTAAAAAAGAGGGAGGACTTCTTTAGGCTTCTTAAGAGTAATAATAAAAAGGAAGAGCTGCCGCTGCTATTAACACTAGCGTAAAATAATAATTATAATTTTAAGTAAGCAAAAAGCCCTTTAGCGTTAGCTAATAATGCATTAATAATAAAGAATAAGTTTAAGGCATTTTTTAATAAGTTTTAAGGGCTAATTATTATTATTTATAAAAGAAAGGGTAATATAATTAGCAAGAAAGTAATTAAAGTAGTTATATATAAAAAAGAGGCTTTATTTAGGCGATTAAAAAGTTAATTAAGAAAATTAAGTATATTTCTTATAGTAAATTATTACCTATCCCTTTTAATTATTTAAATAATGCTTTCTTTTGCTAACTTACCCATTATTAAAAAACTTACTATAAATAATTCCATTATTATACTCTTTTCTTTTTATTAATATTACTTTTTTTGCCTTTATTTTAATTATATAGCATCTTTATTAACTTTTATTATAATTATTACCTTTAAACCTTTTCTTTAATATATGTATATAATGGAAATATTCCTTAATTGCCTTTATATATTAGCTAATCTTTTTAATGCTTAAGCATAAGAACTTTATAAATTTATTATATTATTATTATAATTATTTATCTTATATTAATATTAATAATAAATATACCTCTTTAAATCCTTAAAATATGCCTTAATTAAATTTAAATTAAGGGAATATGGCAGTAAATATATTAGTTTAATGCCTTTTGCTTAAATGGCCTTATAAATAGCTTAATTATAATGCTATAAGGCATTATCCATTATAAGGATTAATTAAAAGCCTAAATAAGTATTTATTTAAGGAAGAACCCTTTTAAGAAGTTATATTAAGAAAAACTTCTTTATTATATGCCCCTTATATACCTTAATATTAAAAAGATTACTAATTATAATTGCTAGCTGTTGGCTGGGTTACGTATTGCAATACGATGTTTAATTGGTATTGTGGTTAATTATTATTAACTATGGAAGGAAGGAAGGTAGAAGGCCTAATTATGCTAGCTATTTTATATGCTGCGCTAAGGCTGCTGCTTATTAAGCATCTTAATAAGCTAAAGCTACCTAATCCTAAATAATCCTTTATATAAATAATACTTATTATTCTTATATTAGCAATTTTTATTTTATAAATATATATTACTTTTAAAAAGTATAAAAAAAAGGAAGATATTAAGTTAAATTAAACTTAAAGTTAAGAGGTAATTAATTAATTATATATATAAGTTAAATTATAAGTATATTATTATTTTATTATGCTATATTATTATAAAAGGTAAGTATATAAAAAGGCTTAAGTTATTATTAAAGAGTTAAAAGTTAATTAATTTATTAAAGTATATAATTAATAAATAAAAATTAATTAAGTATATATATATATTAAAATATTTTAATTATATAAAGTTAAAAAGCTTAAAGGGTTATAATTATTATATAAATATTTTATTTATAATATATTTTATAAATTTATGCTTTTATTATTTATAACGCTTAAATTAAATAAGAATTAAATTAAACCCTTAAACTATTAATATAATTATTTAATCTTTAAATAATTAAAATTTCTTAATTTAGCTTAATTTAAGCTTTGCTATACTTAATGCTGTTTATTAAATAAAGAAATTAAGAAATGTATTAAAGGATAAGTTATTAAAATAAAGATTAATAAGTTATAAGAATTAGTAAATAAAGTATTTAAATAAAGGGAAAAGTAGGGTGTAAAATAAAGATTATTAATTAAGTTAATAAATAGCAATATTCTTAATTTTAATATATAGGTATTAAATTATAAAATTTAATTAAAAATGCTTATTAAATATAAGTTAATAACTTAAATGCTTATAAGATAATAATAACCTTTATTATTTAAACCCTTAATGCATAAGCATTATTATAAAAATCTTAAATATAAGGTTTACTTTTAAAAGGGATATAATTTAAAATTAATTAATTATATTGCATTATAAGGTAATTTATAAGTAATTAATAAATATAAACTAAACTTTTATACTTTTGCTATGCATTGCCTTTAATTAAAGAAATTATTTTATTATTCCTTATTAAAAACCTTTAATAATCTTTTTATTTTTATAATTACATAATATGCATACTTAAGTTAATTGCATTAATATTAATATAATAACCTTATAATATATAATGTAATAATAATATTTAAGGTTATATTAATATAGTTTATTAATAAGTTATTAAATTATGCTTTAATAATTTAAATTTAAGTTTTAATATATTATAATTTTTTTAACTTTTTATTATATTTAAATAATTACCTTATCTTTTTAACCGCGATTTATATAGCTTTATATCTTAATTATAATCTTATTTATATTTATAAAGCGTTAAAAAGTGCTATTAAGAATACTTTTTATAAAGGTATTAATTAAGTTGTAATTTTTAGTAATTTAATAAATTTTAAAGACTTTATGCTTTTTATATAATTATTAAAGAATTAT